GCAAGTAGAGTTGGCCAATAGGGAAATCAAATCTATTCTTGAAAAGGTGGTGAGTCCAACAAGAAAGGATTGGTCTTTGAAGCTAGATGATGCATTATGGGCCCTAAGGACCGCATTCAAGACTCCTATTGGTGTTTCCCCGTTTAAACTTGTGTTCGGGAAGTCATGTCATTTGCCGGTTGAGTATGAACACAAGGCATATTGGGCAGTTTCAAGGTTGAATTTGGATGAGGACTCGGCAAGAGAGAAGAGGTTGTTACATTTGAATGAGCTTGAGGAGTTCCGGATGGATGCCTATGAGAATGCAAGGATCTACAAGGAAAGAACCAAGTACTTTCATGATAAGAGAATTTTGAGGAGGAACTTTGAACCGGGTAACCAAGTGTTACTATATAATTCAAGACTCAAGTTGTTTCCCGGTAAACTCAAGTCGAGGTGGTCGGGCCCTTTCCGAGTAGTGGAACATTACCCATCGGGCGCCGTTTCAATTGTGGCTAAGTCGGGAGATCCTTTTATGGTGAATGGGCAAAGGTTGAAGCTCTTCAATGAGCCGGAATTCAAAGAAAAGGAGGCTAATGTGGTTTGGGATCTCTTCTATCCCTCATATACTTGAACACCAAAGGTCAAGTCGAGCTAGCGACGTTAAACGTAGCGCTTCATGGGAGGCACCCCATGTTATCTTTCATTTTATAACACTTTACTTTCTTCTCTATTTTTCTTTACACTTTTATTTTTGATATATCATGCTCTCACTTGTGCTTATTGTGCTACCTTTTATCCCTTGTGCTTTATTTTCTTTTACATCGAGGACGATGTAATTTCTAAGTGTGGGGGGTGGACAAAATATTGGAGGGAAAATTTTGAAATTTTGAAACTTTTTGAAACCTTGCTTGGATGAGTCATTGTGCATAATGTTGGGTAAATTTCTCATCTTTGTTTGAAGTTGTGATCACTCCCTCTTTGTTGGTTTGTGGTTTGATTTGGTGGTGCTTGTTGCAATGCAATTTGTGATTGATGATTTGAGGTATAACACATGATTGATCTATTCTCTTGCCAATTGCCTTGTTAACCTATTAATAAATGAATAAATTCTTGATCTTGTGTGTTATGCTTTGCTAGTGAAGGCTTATGTGAGATTCCGGTCATGGTTGTTTTGCTAGAACTTGCCTCATTACTCTCCAAGTGAAGTCTAAGATTTGCATGTTTAGAAATGATTTAGGCCATTTTTGTTTAGCCCGAGCCTTTCAAGCCTACCATTTACACATGTGTTTACCACTAGTTGTCCCCGTTGAGCCTTTTGTGTTTGTTTAATAAGTGCTAAGCACTTGTCCCTTCATTGTGATTGTTTTTCCTTGTGTTAACCCTCATCATTTACCCTTAACCCCTAGCCAAAATATTTCCCTCCACCCTTGAGAGAATAGAACATTTATTCTTTTTTCTTTGAAGAGATCTTTATTGGAGCTTATTTTGTTAGCAATCCTCTTGATAATTTTGTCTAAGTGTGGGGGTATTGGTTCATGGAACAAGTTTGTTTATTGTTTTGCAATGAAAGGAAAGAAAAGAAAAAAATAATGATGAGAAAATTGAAAAAAAAAAGTCATGAAAAAAGAGATGAAATGAGAAAAAATGAAAAGAAAAGGAAGAAGAATAAAAGTTTGAAGCTTGATTCTAGTTTGTTTTGAAAGTTGTACTCAACCCCCACTACTTTAGAGTGTTGCTTTATGTTTCATTGTAAATTGCTCCTTAGCTTATAAATGTCATATCTCTTCTAGCCTCAATTGTGAATAAATGTGAAGTTCTCTCCTTTGTTTATTTTCCTTACCCCTTCTTTGTTAGTCATTCACCCTTAGCCCCATTACAAGCCTAATAAAGACCTATTTGATCTTAGCATGCAATCTTGGAGTTGAACTAGTGGGAGTATGAAGGGCAAGCCTATGGAATCTCATTCAAAGCCAAGTTTTGCATAATCTCAACTTAGTATTGTGCACACTTGATCCTCACACACTTTAATAATTTTGGTGCTTGGTTATTGGCTTGAGAATGGAACTTGTGTGGGATGCTAAAATGATTCTTGAAAGAAGTTGCGTTGTAGCAAGTCGGTTTGCGGATTGATAAGTTGTGCAAGTTGGGAGTGTGATCAATTTCATTGCTTGGATGGTAATTTGTCTTGTCTTTGCTTGAGGACAAGCAAATGTTTAAGTGTGGGGGAGTTGATAAGTGCATTTATGTCCATATTTTTACCCCTTGTATAGACATATTTTGAGTGACAACCACTTTGATTTTATGCAAAGAAGTGCCTTAATTCCTTTGTTTATATCTTTTGATGCATAAATTGTAGAGTGCAGGCAATTGTGTATTTTTGAGGTATTTTGGATGAATTTGGAGTCAATGAGAGCCAAATATGAAGCTATGGAGATGGATGCAACACTTCCAAAGGAGTCTAGGGTGGTTCTTTCAATGGTCTTGGTCATGTGGGCAAACCAAAGCAAAAGAGAAGCAAGCACCATGCAATTGCAATTTCTGACCTGCACGTCGACGTCATGGTTCTTGGACCATATCTCAAGCTAAAAACATCCAAATTACATGATTCTTGTCCCATTGCAAAGAAGACTCAAAGGGCTACAACTCATATTCAGACATCAAAGCCTAAAAAGGAAGCCACAGTGGTCAAAATCATCCTTGAAGTTGAAGTTCCGAACTTACAGATTTCACCCGAAACTGACCACTATTTGGTAATTTGATCATATCTTGGCCTAAGATTGTCCAAATTAAGTGATTCTTGCGCCATTTGAAAGAAGACTCGAAGATATACAACTTTCATGAAGACACCGAAACCTAATTCTAAAGAAAAAAGGGTCAAAATTAGCCTGCAAGTCGAAGTTCTGTTGCAGATCAGCACTCGACGCGTCGAGAATTACTCTCGACGCGTCGAATCCTGGCAGAATGTCGAGCAGCCCATCTCTGTTTTCTTTTGACTGCGGTTATAACTCTTTTTTTTGGAGAAAAAAGAGAGGAGAGAACCCTAGATAGCAAGAACTCGTTTTCCTTTCATTTCCTTAGCTTAGATTAGTCTAGTATTTCATCTCTAACTCTTCTACAAAGCTTGTAATCATGGATTGGAGTGAGATTCAACCACAAAATCTTCATCTTCAATAGAGAAGCTTCTTACTCTTCTTCTTAAGCTTTTGTGCAATGTTTATGATATTTTCTTGTGCTTTGTTGTTATTTATGCTTATGAAGTGTGAGTAGTTCGTTTTTGGGCTTGGATTAGGGTGATATTGCTAACCTAGATGCTAAATAGGTGATTATTGCATAAGGGGGAAGAACCCTAACCTAGGGTTCATTTGTTTGAGTTGGTTTTATGTTTAATCTTGCTAATATTTGGTACGTAACTCTTATTAGCTTGCTTTTGGATAGTTTTTCTCCACAATGAAAGTTGGGGGAAGAATTTAAGCCTCTCCTTTCTCTAAACCCATTTTCTTTCTATGAAAATAGGGAAGAATTGGGGGCCTAAATGCTTATGTGCTTTAAGAGCTAGGAATTGATACACCATGAAAGTGGGGCAATCCTTGCTCTAATCCTTGTTCTTTAGCTTATGAAAATGGCTTTAAGCTAGGATTTTTATGTGCTTTGCCCTTATGTTCCCTTGGTTAATGTTCTCCCCTAATCCCTAAGTTGTTAAAGCATCTAGAAGGCAACATCCCCTAATTTGAGCCCATCTTTTATCATTGTGATTGCTTGTGTTTAAATTGCATTGTCTTAACTAGATTTTTAGCCCTTAATTGTTGACATTACCCAACCATGAATTTGAATTTGCTTGGATTCTTGTGGGTTCCAATACTTTGGTGCCTAGAACTTTAGTTATCACTCAAGTACGTGCCATAGTCCCAATCCCTTGCGGAACGACAATTTACACCCGTATACTCACCACCTCTTTCCCCTACATCAAAAGTTTAACCCGAGTACCATTAGACCACATAGTCTTGGTATTAATTACTACGCAAATATAAGATAATAAAATTGCGTCTTGTTTAATAGTTATAACGTTTATCATAATAAGTATTTGATCTGACAATTGATATTGATATGGCAAATTATGCTATGGACCCGTGTCCACCATGTGCATGGTGGACACGCAGTACATTCATAATTTATATACTATATATTCATAATTTCTATATTGTACATTCATAATTTCTAAACTGTAGATCCATAATTTCTATACTGTAGATTCATAATTTATATACTGCACATTCATAATGTCTGTACTGTATGAATCTACATTATAAATTTTATGAATCTACAATATAGAAATTATGAATCTATAGTATAGAAATTATGAATCTACAGTATAGAAATTATGATTGTGCAGTATAGAAATTATGAATCTACAGTATAGAAATTATGAATGTGCAGTATAGAAATTATGAATCTACATTATAAATTTTATAAATCTACAGTATAAAAATTATGAATCTACAGTATAGAAATTATGAATGTATAATATAAAAATTATAAATGTACAGCGTGTCCACCATGCATATGGTGAAAGACGGGTCAAGGCATAACTCTCCATATTGATATTAGGAGGCCAATGCGCTTAATCCTCACACCAAATATAATTGAATATGATTTAGTTAGCTTTAGTATGATGGCAGCGATTTCCCAGCCAAGTCAATGTCCGGTTCGTTGACGAGTGACGTAACGACCGCCGTGGTCCATCAATGACTTGACGATTAATTATTAAAATTTTATATTGTTCTCCCGCAAATGGTGTCACAACTCGTAAGTAATCACGCAACATCTATGCTTTTATGAGTACGCGTTCCACAACAAAAATATCGCAACATTTTATTTGAATAGTATTGCCATAAGATATATATATATATATATATATATATATATATATATATATATATATATATATGATTATTGTTTTGGTCTACCCCAAACGGTATGGATGAAATCTATAAATAGTTATGGCATATTTGGGACATTGTATCCTCAAAAAAACTCACCACCCATCCTCTAGCTTAGCTTGCCCGAACCACTATGGCCCTAAACTTCAATTCCAAATGCATTCTTGCAATCCTTTTCCTCTTGGGGACGTGCGCTTACGAAGTCACTTCCCGCACCCTTGAAGAGGCATCCTTGGTCCAACGTCATGAGCGGTGGATGGCTCGCCATGCACGCTCATATAAAGATGATGTTGAAAAAGCTAACCGATTCAAAATATTCAAACAAAACTTAGAGTTCATTGAATCGTTCAATAAAGTTGGCAACCGATCTTACAAACTCGGTCTGAACAAATTTTCAGATATGAGCCACGAAGAGTTCAAAGCCACAATGCTTATTGACGAAAACAATTTTGTCGCTCGCCCTACTAAGATTCCGAAAGGAAACTCGTTTGGAAATAATGAGAGTCTCATTGATGCTCCAAACAGTGTGAACTGGATAAAGAGTGGAGCTGTTACTGCAATCAAAAATCAACATCGATGTGGTAAGTAATGAATGATATTATTTATTTCATATTATTGTGCATGTGATGGTATTACACTTGCAATCCGTCATCAATATCAAGTTGGTCAAACTGTTAACTTAATAACAAAAAGGTTACAAGTTCAACACCGAATGAGATAATTTATTGACCTTTTTCGTTTGAATTGATTAGAATTTTTTCCAAATTTAATCTCACTACTTTTAAATCGTTACTCCTGTCGATATAATTTTTGGTCACCGGTGATTTATCTTAAAGGATAAAATTGTCATTTGTTACATTTTTTAGTAAACTTCTCCGTGAGGGGACTGAAAATGACAATTTTGTCCTTCAAAATAAGTCACCGATAACTAAAAATTGATTACCGGTAATTAGAATTAGGTTAGAAGGTCTAAATGTGGTAATGATTTAAAAGTCGTGAAACTAAATATGAAAAAATTAATAATCGGAGACCAAATCTGAAAATAGTCTCATAGTCATGAAACCAAAAGTGAAATAAAAATTCAGTTATTAGCAATTTAGATTGATTTACTTCCTTTACTGAAGTAACAATACCAAATTTATGTGATGCGTACCATTAAATACTGACTACAAATTTTCCTCTTATAAATTAGGTGCATGCTGGGCATTTTCAACAGTCGCAGCAGTGGAAGGAATAACCCAGATAAAAACCGGGCGGTTAGTTCCCTTGTCGGAGCAACAACTCGTGGACTGCGACACGACCAACAGCGGCTGCGGCGGCGGCTGGCCAACCAAGGCATTCCAGTACGTGCAGGAAGCCAACGGACTCATGTCCGAATCCAACTATCCCTACCAGGGCTACCAGCAAGCCACGTGCGCCACCGCCGGAGGCTACGCGGCGGCAACCATCACCGGGTTTCAGCAGGTGGAGGAGGGCGAGGACGCGCTCCTCCAGGCCGTCAGCAACCAGCCAGTCTCCATCATCATATCTCTCGACGGCTACGAGCTCCAACATTATGACAGCGGCGTCTTCTCCGGCGATTGCGGGAGCGGCTCCTTGCACGCCATCACGGCGGTGGGCTACGACACCTCCATGGAGGGGGGAAAGTATTGGCTGGTAAAAAATTCATGGGGCACCACCTGGGGCGAGAATGGGTACATAAAAATGGCGAGAGACGTGGTTGAGGGAGGACTCTGTGGCCTGGCCAAAATGGCTTCTTACCCTACCATTGATTAACCATCTAAATATAATTAATTAAGTTTAAACCCTGGCTTTGGACTGGGTCGGACTTTAATTAATTTGATGCAAGATATTTTGCACTCTATCAATTATATATAGTAATATTATATTTGTATCCAAAAAGTTTAGATTATACTCCACATGCATAAGGTAGAGTGTAATATAAATTCTGAATTCTGTTTCATTGATGTATCAAAAGAAATATAATACTAAATATTTAAATTTGAATTTTGTTTCACTAACGTTTCAAGTTCGAATCCTAGTGACAATGACTTATTAACATTTTTTGTTTGAGCTAGTCAATTATGATAATTTAGGCTCGTTTACCTCATCGTGGTTATTTGTTAGTTAGGGCTACAAGGTGTAGTTTACTCAGTGTGCACCCTCGAATAGCTATTGCAAGTTTCCTCATCACCCCAAAAACAAATATTAATTATGTGTTTTATTCATGAGCGTGGAGTCTAAAATTGATACAAGTCACAATGAATTGAAAAGTATTAGATATTACCATATTCACATTCTTAGCTTAAAATTATGTGAAATAATTTGAATTAGGCACCCCATTAGAAAGACTTGATAGCTAGGATGGTGATGTATGTATACTATTGGGTGAACTTGGTTTATATAATCTCAAATTATGGGCACTGTAATGATCATTCCATATATAATCTCAGCTGATTGCCTTATATTTTCTCGGGTCAAAGACTGAAATAGAAATATATTAGGAATCAATAACAAAAATAAGAAAGTTTTAAAAGGTGAATAATATTGAAAAAAATTCATTTGAGACATGCGTTCCTTGTCAGAAATGTATATCCCAAATGATGAGTTTTTACAAACATATTTTTTTAAAAAAATAATAAGAGACACAAGTGGTACTTGCATCTTACGTATTATACGTGAGATGCAAGTGGCAATTGCGTCTCTGGCTTGTGGAAAACCAGGGCGACCGGAGAGTGGAATATACGTGAGACGTCTTAGGTTTTACGTTTTCCCACAACGAAAACGTCTTACATTTTCCAAAGCAAAAGGAGGCCTTACTCTGCAGAAGAATACACAAGCCAAGGCACAAGTGTCACTTGTGTCTCACGTATGTATAGTATAATACGAAAGACACATGTACCACTTGCTTTTCTTATTATTTTTAGAAAAGAAAAAAAAATGTTTGTAAAAATCACTTGGGACATGTGTTTCTGTCCCAAGTGAATTTTTCCTATATTATCTACATTTTAAAATCTTCTCATTTTTGTCGTTCAATTCATTTCTAATATTTTTTTTAAAAAATAATAATAATTCATTTCTAATATATTTCCATTATTTCAGTACTAGTATTTGCGCCCGTGCGTTGCACGGAATGAATTTGTTATAATATTTTAAAAATATTTAGATCGATATACAATTGTATAAATTATAACATCGAATATTATAAAATATAATTGAAGAATTGAGTTGCACCGATTATGTTTTCTGATGTTATCAATACTTGAAGAATTCGAGTAAATAATTGCCCAATTAATAGTTAACGTGTAGATATACGCATTCGGTGTTGCAACTTTAGAGATTTTATATATCAGTGTTTATAATTTGTATTAATTGGACTAATTAGCTCGTTGTCTAGCAACTCAGTTATAGAAATTATTTATACGGAAGATATATTTTCTATGTAGATATATAGCAATTTTGTCATCTTTGTATATAAAAAACCATAATATCAATAACTTGAATTATACATTATTGAAAATCTCTTTGTAGACAACATTGGTAGTAGTAACGGAATTTTATCCATTCTCGTCTAGAGTTAAAACCACCAGACCATCAGGATGAATGACTCGGGAAAAATTCACATACAATAAACTGTGATTAAAGACGAGTTGTTTTAGTAATAACTCAACGTGAGTTAATGTTTGACCCTGACTTTTGTTGATAGTCATGGCATATGCGAGCATCAACGTGAATTGTTTTCGTTAGAACTTGAATGGCAATCTCGTATCAGAAGGGCGAAAGACATTTTAATTGAAGATTTTACTTTTATTAATAGTATAAATATAGATTGGTGTAAATAATAATTAATAAATTATTATTTTCTTATAAAATTACATATAATTTCAAATGAATTTTCTCATTTATTACGCAGAATTTGTTTCCATTATTCTCACAATTATAATGGTTTAATTATTCTCAGCATTTGATAACCATCATCCATTTTTAAGTACACATTGACTTCAATGTGTGATAAAAATTCATTAGATATTAGTTAATTTTCATATAAAATTTTGTTACCAATTAAGCTTTATTAAATTTTTTTTTACCAATTAATTAATATTCATATTCATTTGGGCGGGAATGTTGAAGATGATAATTTTACTTTTATTAATAGTATAAATTGGTATAAATAATAATTAATAAATTATTATTTGTTTATAAAATTACGCAGAATTTCAAACGAATTTTCTCATTTGTTACGTAGAATTTGTATCCATTATTTTTATAATTATAATAATTTAATTATTCTCATAATTTGGTAACCATTTTTCATTTTTATATACATATTGACTTTAATCTGTGGTAACAATTCATTGGATATTAGTTAATTTTCATATAAAATTTTGTTACCAATTAAGCTTTATTATTGTTTACTAATTAATTAATATTCATATTAATTTGGGTTGGGATGTTGTAAAGGAGGATTTTACTTTTATTAAAGTCATTTCACTAAGAACTTGGAGGGTGTGGTTGAGTGGAAGGGACGCATCCATCCTTATTAACCAAAGACAAGGATTTGATCATTGCCTTTGAGAATTGAGCAACTTTAAATCTCCAGGCCAGCCCTTTCACCCAAAAGAGGGGCATTAGTCACTTTATCTAATCATATTATATTAATTTCATTTTGAAATCATTGGTTCACATATTTGATTTATTTATTTTTTCTTTAATTATTCTCGTTGTAAACATAAATGATATTGCAATAATTAATTTATAATATTTATCAAATTGTATTTTTTTTAAATGTAAAATTTTCTCATGTTTAGGGATTAAAAATATTTTAAAATTATTTTTTATTAGTAAGTATTTTTATTTCTAAAATATTTTCCAGCAACCCAAACACTCCCTTAGTCTCTAATAAAAAATTGAAAAATAAAAGTTATTTCATTAAGAAAATTAAAACTAATTAAAGTAAATATAATCATGCTATATTTATTTGTAATTGTATATTAATTTCATTTTGAAATTATTGGTTCACATCTTTGAATTATTTATTTTTTTCTTTAACTATTATAAACAAAAATTATGATATTTATCAAATTGTATTTATATAACATTTGCACATGTTATGAGGTGTTAAAAAATATTTCAAATTATTTTTTATTAGCATGTATTTTTATTTTAAAATATTTTCCAGCAGGATAAACACTCCCTTAGGCTCCCATAAAAAAAAAAAAAAAAAAAAAAAAAAAAAAAAAAAAAAAAAACTGATAAAGAAAAGTCATTTCATTAAGAAAATTAAAACTAATTAAAGTAAATCTAATCATGCTATATTTATTTGCAATTGTATATTAATTTCATTTTGAAATCATTGGTTCACATTTTTGAATTATTTATTTTTTTCTTTAACTATTATAAACACAAAATTTGATATTTATCAAATTGTATTTTTAAAAATATATAACATTTACACATGTTATGAGGGGTTAAAAAATATTTTAAATTATTTTTTATTTGTATGTATTTTTATTTTAAAATATTTTTCAACAATCCAAACACTCCCTTAGCCTCCCATAAAAAAAACTGACAAAGAAATGTCATTTCATTAAGGAAATTAAAATTAATTAAAGTAAATCTAATCATGCTATATTTATTTGTAACTGTATATTAATTTCATTTTGAAATCATTGGTTCACATATTTGAATTTGTTTTTAATTATTATAATTTATAAACAGAAATGTTATTGTACTAATTAATTTATGATATTTATCAAATTGTATTGTTTAAAAAATATAAGATTTACAAATGGTATGAGGGGTTACAAAATATTTTAAAATTATTTTTTATTAGTAAGTATTTAAAAAAAATAAAAATTCCACCAACTCAACACTCCCTTCGCCTCCCATAAACAATTGATAAAGAAAAGTCATATCATTAAGGGAATTAAAACTAATTAAAGTAAATGTACTCATACTATATTTATTTGTAACTATATATTAATTTCATTTTGAAATTATTGGTTCACATATTTGAATTATTTATTTTTTTCTTTAATTATTATAAACATAAATGATATTGTATTAATTAATTTATGATATTTATCAAATTGTATTTTTTAAAATATAGTGTTTTACTCGAGAATTTTTTTTTTTTGTTATTATGAATTTAAAATGAAATTAGAAAAATAAAAAGATTTTAAAATGTACAATATAATAATATAGTTGGAATTTTATATATTTGGTCAAGTATCTATTTTCATAACATACAAAATTAAAATTAAAATATTGTATGGTTAGTATAATATCTAATCATGTACATATTTAGATAAGTTTATAGAAAAAATTTATAAAATTAAATTGATTTATTACAAATTGTATTTCATATATATATATATATATATATATATATATATATATATATATATATATATATATATATATATATATATATATATATATATATATATATATATATTATAATTTCAAAAATATTAATAATAATAATAACTAAGAAAATTGTACTTAGAAATCAATAAAAATGTAAATTCTAAATTTTGTATGAATAAATATAAACTCTAATCGGACGCATATCCTTATATGATTGAATAATACATTGTATATACACATAATATTTATTAATATGTATATATAAAAATTCTATAATATAATTCATTCATTATAATTTGTATTAATAGATTTATATTTAAAAATTTAAAAAGCTGTGTTATATTTTCAGTAAAATATAAACATATTCATTTGTTTTTCTTAATATTTCATTTCCTTTTGAGTATATTCATTTCTTTTTTTTTTCCTTCATAAAAATAATTAATATTTATTTCTATTCATTTTTCCTAATAATTGTCAATTAATTGGCCTGATTTCCATGTCGATTAGGATATTAATAACAGATTTCTGTTTGAAATATTCATTTCCTTTCTGATTAAAAAATAATATAATTATAAAAATATAATTACTGATTATATTTCTAATAAAATATTAATATATTCATTTCATTTTTCCTTCATAAATAATT